AATGGATAATAATAAGTATAACAAGATTAAGCGTAAAATACCCATATTTTTGGATCTGAATTACTATATTGAGGTCTAAAAATATTACTACTCAAAACCAAAATAAACTACGTTGATGTCCGTTTGTTGTTTCGTCTGGCATTTTAATCCCAGATAAGAGATTATCTATATGATTTGGTGACAGGACAAAGATTTCAGTGTGGGCGACTATTGCAGGATTAGTGCAATATTGCATTCGTTGTACCTGATCCATTTTATGAGAACACTTTAGATAGTAGTTGGCTTTTACCTGTTCCTTAAGTTCTTCAGCGAGATTTAATGCCTTTTCCAGTCGCCTCATTTTCGTCCAGTAAACCAGTAGGGTCAGCTATGGCTAAGACCAGTAATATGGTTATAAAAAAAGACAGAATTATTTATTAGATACTGTTACCTCATTAGATAGTCGTGGCAATGGCCGTGTCACATATATGATATCTGTAAATGTTGCAATAATTTATCTTAATTCGAAATATTGAATATTGTTTACATATATTTGAAAATTGACAGATAATGGGGGTGTTGCGTTACTTGTGAGACAATACGAAAACTCCTAAAAGTTAGTGAAGATTAGAAAACAATATACATATCTCAAGTCTCGACTACCACATTGGGTTCATGGTAAGGACTACTTGTTGTATTATTATTCACAGAAATAAAATAATTAAATATTTTATGGTCTAGTTTAGTGTAGTAACAAGCCAGTCTGCATCATGCGGCACGGTAATGAAAACACCCATACTAAAAAAAATCTTGACTTAATTAAACACATTTTTTTAAGTTATGTAAATGTAATGTTAATATCTTTGTACACTGACAGCCTCTCCAACTAGAACCGGGCCTAAAGCCCGTGCCATTTGCCCACTCTTTTGGTACGTCACTAGTTAAGTGATTAAATTATTATTAAATCGGGTATTTTCTTAAGCGGATATTAATTTATATTATTGGTGTTTATCGATATGCGTAACAGTACTTCTTTATAGTTTACAGATACACCTAACCTAAGTAAGGTTAGGTGTATCTGATCTTTATTCATAGATGTTTTTTAATGTTTTCGACGCAGGTACTAAATCGATATTATCTACAAGACAAGAAACATTGAATATTCTATTTCGTTCAGTTTATAAACAAGGACCCTATGCAATTGTAACAGATTATCAATGAAATTTTAGACTCGTAATAAATAAAGCGAAGTGTAATATTTTTGCTGCACTTTCCGAATATACCTCTTTTCATATTAATCTTTAATGGAATTTTGTCATACTGAAATGTAAATGGTTTAAGTGATGGATGACAATAGTTACTTCACGTATTGCGAACGTATAAATTTATATTTATGCGAAATAATTTTTAATTAGGGTAGTAACCACGAATGTCACAGAACTAAACTGTTTGAATAAATAAATTTAAGTTAATACACATCTATTCCAACATTTATGGAATATATATTCGATATAACAATTCATTATCTCGATTATGGAACATGTTCTACACTGAAATATCTCATCATATTTGAATCTAATAACATCATGTATTGTATTTTACCATCCGGTACTTGGACTATATTTTACCGTATGTGCACCGTAAACGTTTAATATTACTACTGTTATTTTTAGCACTGTTTAATTTATACCATATTTAACATATAGATTTTTACATCTTTATTTAAACACTGTTTTAAATTTATAGTTCTTATTGGTCTTTATTTAGATCATTTATTGATAAACTATCTACTCCTGGATGTCTCAATTTTACTATTGTGAAAAGAGTCAAAATTTACTTTTATTTGTAAATTAAATATAAAGTAGAAATTATTTAAAAAAAAATATAATTCTAATTATATTAAAATTGGTCAGAAACTAAATTTTTTGAGAACTTTTGTGTCAAACTCGATTTTTTATTTGGAATATATTTTAGTAATATAGAAAAAACAACAATAGCATAATAATTTAATATAGCATTTCATTATTTAATGTTATTTTTTAGGTCTTGTGGTACAAATGCATTCTAGAATTAATATTGTTTTTGTTTTACAGGTTTCGGTATTTAGCTAGAGGGGCTTTCATCGTTCTGAAGGTAAGCATTATTGTATTATTACAACTAGATACAATACGATGAAGATAATTGTTGTATACCTTGGTCTGTTGTCTCTGACAGTGATAGAGTCGTGCCCATATTTTGTGAATTACCTATATGATTTAAAACTGCCACACCGTCAATATTAAAATAAATACTGATTATAAAATAAAAATATTGTGTTAATTAAAACTTTTTCTTTTTTTTGCAGTCTTTGTCGAAAACCAAGACAATGCATGAATGTACTAAGGCAACTAGAAGCGTTGTGTAACAGGGTACGTTTGTTCGCATTTTTTATCTCTGTTTATATGTGACTCCATCAATAGTGAGGGTTTTTGAATGTATGAAATTTAATTTAGAAAATATTTGTTATTTGGTAGTAACTAATATAATTCATTTTGTGTGTTCGTGGTCAGGTTTCTAAATTATTAGTTTTGATTTAACTTTTATCAGTATTTCCTACACAGGTTATATCTATAACTTTTAAATTGTCCATCTTATTAAAGTATATATATAAATAATATCCATATTTATTGGGCCTTATCAGAATTACACTTCCTATTAAAAAATAATTGTCTAAAATATGGAAATATTTACCCGAGACATTCAAGATTATATTTTTTTGCGTTGCGCCGTTTTAATTTTGAAAACTTGAGCAAATAAGATATTAACGTTTATTTATTATACATTTAAAGACCTGATGATGACTACTCTGATTTGATTACATTATCCTATAAAATCCACACTATTCATGTTATAAATATGATGATTGCTTATTTTTTGTCTTCTTTTCCCGACGGATGCATAATGACGTATATTTATTGATCTGATAAATAGACACTATCATTAGATTTCAATATTAAATTGTATCTATTTATTAATTTCATTTTTGTAGTGAATAACAGTATCACTGTAGTTTATATTTGTGTATTTTGTTTTATTGAAAATAATGGTAGTGTTGCTATGATTATTTTTTATCACAATTAGTATGCGTTTTCATGACATATAATATGTTTTTTTTCTTTTCAGTGAAACACTGCTCCTTTGCCAGACGTCTGAGGACATCACTCGTACATTAGAATATATTATAGATATTTGTAATATAATTCACGAATTTTTATAACTGTCTCATAAAGTTATCATTAGTTTTGTTCCTATTCACTATGTTAAAATCTTAAATTGATATAGTGTAATTTAATGCCAAATAATACAAATCCTTTCGATACTATTGTAGAATGAATTATGAAAATTTTATAGATCATTATTATTAGTACTTATAAAAACTGCACTGGGTATTATCTCCTTGGATTCCAATAATTAAATGTTAAAAAAAGTTACATTACTTATATTTAATGTATAATATTTTACAAATACTCGTAATCTTTTATCATACCATTATGAATGTTATAATCAAAGTAACATTAAATCGTCGTACCAAACCGTATATCTGTACTAGATTGATTGTGTACTGCTGTCAAACTTATTGTAAAAGTTATTTGAAGTAGCAATAGCAATAATGAAAAAAAAAATTGTTAGGTAACTTATTAGGTATATCTACCAGACTTTATCTAAGTTAACATAGACAATTAAGTTATTATAAAATCCACCAATAAAACTCTCACTGATGGGGACAGGTCAGTGAATTTTGTTGTCCAATTACTCAACGGGCTTTGAAGAGGGTACACTTGAGTTCAGAATTATTATAGCATTAGCATCTTAACAGAATCCACGCATTTGAAATAGCAAAAGACAAAAAGTTCGTACCTACAATATAAAATGAAAGTGAGTTCAAAATAACACGGTTACAACGATTGCAAGATATTTAATTAAAATAGATATTGGAGAACGATCTATAAATTTTCTATAAGGATTTATTGATTTTTAAATTATACACTAGTTTCTGTACATTAATGTATAATATACATATACAAAATAGATATTACATTTATTTTTGTACTTGATTCTGTGATTATGTAAAACGTTTTTCAGTGTATCGTTATAAGAACAATGCATAAAATAGAATAATGAAGAAAGAATAATAGAAGAATGATGCATAAAATAATGGTAAGTGTAAGGAATATTTATTAATTAATTAAATCAATTTAATAGACATTCAAACAGACCATGTGCTATCAATATTATAGATAGTCGTCAATATAAAGCAAGACTTTAAATTTTGTAAAATAATGTCTTGCTATATATTGACAACTATTTTATACCCACATATTATTGGGTTTGATTATTTATATGCTAATAACTTTATCTAGTTCGTGTCTTTTATCTGTTGAGCTGCATAAGGTGAAAAATGGATGGACCTGTATTTTGATTCTGTGGTAGCTCCACAGTTAGTAACTTTATTCAAATTATATTTTGATTATAAAAGATAATAATCGAATTAGCTTATTTTATTGAATGAGGCATCTTCATTAAATGATGAATTTTTTTTGTCTTCTTTTCCCGACTGATGCATAATGATGCATAACTTTGTATCATCTGATTTTTTCAGCGACGTAAAGTTTGTAATGCATTTTAATTAATACATATTTATAAAATATATTTTTTTTCGTTTCAGGTAAATCCAAAGATTAAATTTACGAACATTAGGTACCTGTTTAAAATGTGAATATGTATAACTATCGATTAGTAAGATCTGTAAAATCTTAGCACTGAACTTTAAATTAATGTAGCGGTGCCTTTTAGACGTCGTTTATAGTTAATTAAATGAAATGTAATAAATGATGCATTCCATTGAAACATTTTATTATTTACCTGCCTTATCATTATAAACGAAAAGTAAAAAATAAGGACAATGATCTTATAAAGTCCTATTATATTTTAAAATTATGAACCTATAAACGAAAAGTAAAAAATAAGGACAATGATATGTATCTTATAAAGTCCTATTATATTTTAAATTTATGAACCCTCGTCATCATCGATGGCGTAAATACTTTCATTTTTAGTGTGAAGAAAAAAATCACCAAAAGTTTCTACGTCTGCGGGGTAACCCATTAGAGTGGGATTGGTCCTACATTCACTTCTGTCAAATCTTTCCCAATTCTCGCAAGGATAAGAGTTAAACTTTATTCCGCTGTGTATCGATTCATAAAAAAATTCACATGCTCTCCCGTGGCTACAGCTATCTGAAATTTTAAATATGAAGTTTTTTATCGTAGGTCAGCATAGATTGTTACATAATCATAAAATATATGTAGGACAAATTATAAAGGAAGACTAGCTGTGCCCGCGACTTCATCCGCCTGGAATGTAATAAAAAAATAATTAGATAATTTTCCTAAAATAAAAGTAGCCTAAGTTACTCATTACTACATCAGCTACCTGCCAATAAAAGTCCCGTCAAAATCGGTTCGAACATTTCAGAGATTACCCGGAACAAACAAAGACAAAGAAAAAAGACAGACAGACAGAAAGACAAAAATTGTAAAAAATGTTATTTTGGTGTATGTACCGTATTTTTATTCATATGCACGTAGTAAAAAAACAGTTATTTCAATGTTACAAACAGACACTCCAATTTTGTTTATATGTATAGATTAATTTATAATAAATTACCCGAAACGATCACTGACAGGTCTAATTATTCAAGGGTATACTTTATTATCTTAATATAAATAAATAATTTAACTGCTACAAAGCAGTTGATTGTGGAATGTTTTCGCGCAGTGCCCGAAACAGTATCCGAGGATTATATATATCACAATTACCTCAGTCGACAATGAGAACCACTCACACAACCAACTCTGTCAAGAGTACGATTTAAAAAGAATATACTAGCCTGTGTATCTCATGGAGCCCTTGCATCCTGGCTGCACTGACTGGCCTTCATTAGGATAGAAGTCTGCGTGGCCATGGCTATTCTCATATCCCAAGCTACCTCCGCATGTGTGGATTATATCCACAAAGTTAGCGTCACTTTTATCCAAACTAAAGTTTGGCCCCATATTAGGCAATTCAAACAGGGGTCTCGCTGGGTCTAACCCTAGGAAAATTATATTCAATAATAATACAATTGACGATTCTTTATGAGAAACTTAAAAAAACTATTGCGTAAAATATTTTTCTACAAATTTATATCACAATAATTACCAGTGATGCGGAATACTTGTTCTTTAGAAAACATGCCAGCATACCCCATTACGTGGGCACCTAAGCTATGACCGATTAAATGTGTACTACTCCGTACTTGGTATGAATTTCTAAAAGCTTCTAATAATTTCGACAATCTTCTTCCCACATATCGGGTACATAATGCAGGCCAGGGGTACAGTGGATTAGCAGCTAAATCTCCCCAATCCACAAGTATGACATTTAAATCTGCTACTTGTAACAGTCTGTCCTTTATGTTTTGAACCCAACTTGTTCTCGTGTTTGATAACCAGCCGTGGGTAATCGCTTTTACGTCATTTGACTCGTTGAAGTAAGTGCTGTTAATGTGGTCATTCTGATAATTCACAAACAATTCTTCAGCTTCATTTAAATTTTGTCTAAAAATTATACATAGGTACATTTAATGATGAGAAATATCGATTACATCTCGAATAATATAATAATATTCTCTAGATTATCTATTTTATTCTCCGTAAAATACTTTTCAACCAAACGCTGTAATTCGGAATCGTCAATTCGATTTAAACTGTCAAATAATAAATCTGTTAATATCTTATAAATACGTAATATAATAGATATTTTTTTTGTTTAAGACATATATATACAGATAAATATCCCTTGTCTATACACTAACCGTAACAATTTCGTTGTATCTGCCTGTTATCAATTAAATAACACATTGTATTTTAACCATTAAGGAAACTCCGTAGTCCATTTATACTGTCAGTTCCTAGTCATTTATTGGCTAAATGATACTACACTAAACTAAATGATTGAATTGGTAATGTTACAGTGCAATACAATACTTTTCCAGTCGGATACAAATGTATTTACCTACCTGTCTACTTGTCTATAGCACTTATCGTATTCTGTTTCTGGTAAACTATAACACGTATAATTTACATGTATGTCTATTGTTTATGTCCTAAAAACTTCATCATTACATATCGTAATGATTTCGCCTTAATTTACCCACCTCGTATATAAATAGAAATGCGGTTTTCCGTAAATTAGCCCTCTGCTTTCAGGTGGTAATGAAGAGAAATTCATTACGTGTGTAGTTCCATTATCGTCTACAAAATACAGCCATTCATTTCCGTAATCTGGGCCATAATCAGCTTCACAAATCATAAGTGTTGAGCAGACAACTGAAAAATACTTTTGATTGTTACAAAGTCGTAAATAAATCTACTTATATTTACTACCTACATATTATTATTATATAAAATAAATATTAATTAAATTAAATTAATAGTAATAAGTAAATGTAATAAATAAATTAAATAAAAGTTGTTTGTAATTTACATTATATACTCAATGTATATTTTATACAGAGCAATAATTTTGTTTGTGTGGTGGATTTCACAATCAAGATTTTCTGCTCTATAAGAGATAATCCACGGGAATCGTTACCGAACGTTTACGTAATTATAAAATGAAGTTGTGTCATAGCTACCGAAGTAAATAATATTATTATTTTTCTGTGGCATTTTCCACAACGGTGTTCACACGATGAATACTCGATACCTTATTGAATTTACTTACTGCCAATATGTCATAATTAAGTACTCTTGCATAGTAATGATAGCCGATCCAAAACCGGTTTACATGGGACCTATGTTTCCTTTCTGTTTTAGGGCATTATCTTAATGTGTTTCATGGAAGTCTTGATACATATTTTTGGTATTGTATAGTACTACAATGTAGTTTAGTAACATTGTCATAATGTTCGGTAGCTACTTGTATTCTCCCATTATACCTTGATAATTTTTCAAGTAGGTAGTGATAAATTAATACAGTTAATTTCTCAACTATATAAATCAAAATTAAAAATAGATAAACAGTGGAAATATTATTTCTCACCACATATATGTGAATGTTATCTATATAAATGTAGTGTTTACACTTCATCAAAGTAGACTCAGCTATTTCAGCCGCCAAGCATCTCTTACTTTGTAGGCCGTGTTTCGATTACAGTATGAGATATGGCAGTGTAATTACAGAACAGAAGGCATTATATTTTAGTTCTATGGAATGCATTAAATTTGTAACCCATGAGTGGTGTTACGAGTGTCATCTGATAACGAGATCGTAGTGATGAAGTGTATAGATGACGGGTATTGTTTACTACCTATAAGGCGACCTTGTTTGCCATTACAATCATATAAAAATAGATGGGGTTTACAGACATTCCACTTTAGACCTTCGAAGTACCACCGCATGAGGAGGATACCAAATGGTCATGATATATAGAGTATATGTACCTATATCGACGCCGGTTGTTTACCATCAGTTGTATTGGTATTGCAATATCTGCTACATTTTCATGATATATATTTATTATTGTTATTAATGAATATCAATATTTTTTTATTATAATAGTATGTAATTAATAGAGGGAGGATTCCATAGGCTACATTTTAATTTCACTTTTATTTACATCAAGAATCAAAATATTCTGTTTTACACCTGAAATATTGCGACAGAATGAGACCATTTTTTTTTATTTTCCTCTTAGTGCGAAAACAATTATCATTAACGTGAGTTTCTGAGGACGGAAGGATAGGTTTTGTTACTCTTTCGTGAACACTTGAATGGATTGGAATGAAATATGATACACAGATGGTAATCTAAATTTTCACAGGATATTTTTTATTTGAATTAATGCAGGCAATGCTGAGAAATAAAGCTATAGTAAGAAATAATACAACAGTATAATCATAGCAACGTTATTGTATTTTTATCTTTTTGAATTGAATCCTTTTTGTGCTTACACAGTAAACACATGATCTCAACACTTACAACTAAAAATATTCTAAAAAACGAAAGTAATGGATATTTCGTATTATAAAATCGTGGCTTGTGCATTTTTGTTTCCAATTGAGGTAAACTTATTGTGGAGTTATTGGAGTTAAAGTGCTTAGTATGATATTTTGAATATTCGAGTATTTATCAATTATTGTGCTGAGATATTGTGCAGGATGCGTTTGATTATTTAATATTCGGGTGCTGCTGTTTATCCGCATTACACAAGCATATCTGCCAATGTGCACATAATTTTGTATACTTACTCCTCTTTATACAAACTGATACAATACGATTTAGTTAACATTAATCTAATATATTGCTATCTTTTCATTTTAGTCTATAGAAATTGTCGAATGACTTTAGGCTATGTTTTGAAATGCTATTATTCTCATAATTTCTTTTGTAATTTAGGAAATAAATAATGATAGAAAGATAATTGTGATAGAGGTATTGTAGTGCTCCGACAGATTTTATACCAATAGGTACTTATATTACTATGAATAAGTACCATTAATATCAAGTTATCAAATAGATAAGATGCTTCTTGAACCTATAGGATGCGCTTTACGTCTAATGTTATGTTAAGTATGTAAAAGGAAGGATAATTTTATAATGGAAAAGACTAGATATCACATGGTTTGAGCTATATATATATATAATATTATCCTTTGTTTCTTCATACTTGCACGTATATAATGATACGTACGAGACGAAATTATAGCCAACGGGATATATCATGTAGGTACTAATCGAGTAGACATAACATATCAATAACAATGATGTATGAACTAATTAAATAAAGAAGAAGTAAGGTTTGGGCAAGAAAATCTACATAAAATACCCAAAAAAACATTTTACTGTGTAGGTACCTACATAATCGTGCAATAGGTGTGTATTCGCCTGAAAACACATCCGAATAATCTGTATTTACAGTAAAAAGTAATAATCTAGCACTTTTATAATTTTCTTTAACAAAATTTGTAAACAATTGATAACTGTGCGTAATAGATAATTATCGGCCTATAGTTAGGTATTATGTACTAAATGTAGACGCGTTTGTTCCCATGTCCTGGGGCTAAACTACTTCCTTGCTAATGGTTTATTTACCAGTCCCTGATGAGGCTGGTGACGATACGGAGCCATGCTTACATATAGGTACATACGAGTACAATCCGACAGGCATCGAGTGCACAGACACAGATCGGAACAAACGACGCAATACCTGAATTTATGTCAAGACTAAACCTGTCACAACTATTGATAGAACACAATACCATCTGTAATGATTTTACTATCAATTATACAAATTTAAAGTCCCAACTTTGCAGCTTCTGGAGTCAATTAAGTTCAAACGAACTACTAAATTGACACTCAAAGGATTTGCAGTTGCGACATCTACTTCAATCCATATCTGTGATCGACTGACGAAAGCAATCGGCAACACAATTTCAATTTGACCTACACTCAAGCATAAATTCGTATTACACGATCGTGTCAAAATTTATTTATACTGATACATTATACAGTTGGTCAGTCGAAAATATTGAGCATGTTTTGACATATTATAATTAATATACTGTAACAGTGGCTAATTTATTGCACAATTCGTCGACCCTAATATTCTAAAGTGTAACACTATGGCTGGAGTTAACTAGAGAACATGTTAGAAAATAATAAAAAACAAACATCTACCGTGTGTCGTTATACGTATCTTAATCTAGTTTGATCGTCGTCGGCAGTGAACTAAATGATGCGCTCGTTCGCTGCCCTAGACGTAACATGATACAGTTCAATAGGTACCTACGTAGGGCGCTGTAGCGCTCGAGTGGCACCGTACGCGGCGCCCGCTGCCAGAGGGTCTAATCATGCCGCTCTATCCCCGCGCCAAACGTACTCCCTTCACTTCCAAAAGATATAATATGACTTTTAAATTTTCAACATATGTACTTTTGAACACATTGTCTAAAGCAAAAATGTACCCACCAGACATGTTTCTAAACATATATGCTCGTAGTACTTTGCTCAAGTAAAACTCGTTACGTACATATTCGCACTTCCAGATGTGCGTTCAAAAACCGACATAAGATCGTAAAGCGCCAATGTTTGTTTAAACTTGTTGTTATGTACATCGAGCTGTCAGTAGGTGTGCGACATACTTGTATCTCGATATACATATATTACAACTTTGCAGGAATTTGCGCATTTAAATGTATGTTTGGCCCCGGGTTCAAACGAATCCTAATAGGATTTGTTTTGTGACGGACTATACCGCCGAGAATAATAGGCCTCACGCGTTTAGGGCGTCAAATTAACAGACTAGTACAGTTCTATCAGCGGGATATACAAAGCAAATCCTATTACGACCCGTATAAAGCGGCATTATCAGACGCCCAGTTCCAGTCTTGGCAGTCAGCTCAGGCGCTCTCAATCCATGCACGCACATATATAACTACACCTTATCATACCTACCTATCTATTTGTTATCAATAATTTATCTCAATTTCTTTAAAGCGTACATTTTTATTCTTATTTCTTAGGAGGTCCTTAACACAATATACCAGTATTAGAGATGTCCTGTTTCACAAACAACGCATACAAAACAGTGCAACGTGCATGCAAGGAGATATTGAAGAGCACGTCCGAGGCGATAAATAAACCTAATAACAAATGTAATATCTACTAAACAGTCTTTTCATTGACTGGTCATCTATTAGGTGGGATCGCTCCAGGAACCGAGAGACGAATTACGTTTGTATTGTTAAATAATTGGTATATTGAATGCCTCTGTCCAATTTGTAACGTGACTCGATGAAACATATAGGTATGTATAACTTCAGTCGATATACATAGTGGGCACTGATCGGGCAGACAAGTGCCCAAGTATAAAACAATTGACTGAACTTTTGTGTATGTACTTTGAGCATCGACACGAGCCATTCGTTTGGTGCTATATTATAAGTATGTATAACAGTAAAAAATATAAAAACATTAAATTAATTAGCAAGAAATGGCGACAGTGTCTAGTGCCTCACAAGTACTGGCAAAAAGTTCAAGAGAACCTCAATCATACATACAATTACTAAATAAATAAGTGTATAAGATAATATCTAATATGTCTTTTTTACATATTTACAGTTTTTTAAATTAAATAATGTAGGTACATAAACAATAATAAAATTAATAAATTTGTACTTGAAAAATAAATCTTGAAAATATCAAACACATTTCAGTTTATACGTCTTGTTTCGATCTACATTATATCTAATATCTACTTATGATTATTTTGTTGTATATTATATATAAATGAGCCCTCGAAGCCGGCACGCGACGTCGGGCCGTAGTGTCACCGGGCATAATTAAAATCACTAGGTCCCGGAGTCCAGGGCCGGCTGCGGGCGCTCTTTTTTTAATAAATCGTTATTCGTAATTAGTTACAATAATAACTACAATATAATGTTGGTATGAGGGGTGTCGTGGATGCCTCCCCACTCATACCTAAAGCGTTTAGGTGAACGAATTGCTCCGCACTGCCTGCCCACCGCGGAATGTTTTTACGCAACGAGATCTAAGCATGTCTTAAAATTACTGTACCTACAACATATTTATTTTGGTTATGGCTTGTATGTTCTAATTTTATTACGAACTCAATGTAATATGTGTTCTTTTGATGAAAAAATGTGTCTTTAGAATACTTTACATATTTAAAAATTTTATTATGATTTGTATAATCGTCTCACAAATTATTAATTTTTAAAGATTTTGTGTTACATTAAAACATGCGAGAGTTAAGATATTCGATACAGAGCACCAAGTTTTGACGCAATTCACTGTAAATTCCTATATTCTCTTAGGTATATGAGGATATTATTAGCAATATATATATATATATATATTATAGAATTGTTCATATTAAGTTTGCCGTGTTGAAATGGAAATGTATTTCTCGACTGGTTAATTGACACAATTATATCAGTTATTCGAGTACAGGCAGTGCGAATACAAAATGCCCCAGCATCCACTTTATATACGTACATTATTACAGTCATATATCAATATGCGACCGATGTCATCGTTTCTAAATAACCTATTATATAAGAGTCGCCGGCGTAGTTCGCAGCGCCGGCGACCAAGGTGGGAGTTTTAATAACACTACTTAAAGAGTGAACGTATCAATTCATATCTACCTCGGAATATTGCCTTCGTTCAGCTCATTCCAGGTCGAACATTATGTAAATCTCATCGAACAGCATAACTATCAGTGGGTTAGGTTAGCCTCTCTGTGCCCATCGTTTATTATTTGCTAGGCGGAGGTTTGCTGATAAAGTCAAATTATCTATTCGAACATAGTAATTACTCGAATGAAATTTAATTATTTGTTGCTACTTTATAAAGAGATCAAGCAAAATTCGTTTAAAATTATAATTTCCACTGAGTACATTTATGTGCTAGATACTGTTATTCAAATCCAATAATAGAAACGGTTTGAACATTGATCCATGTATTCAGTGGAGATGACAATCATAACTCGAACAGGGAATCGGTGGGGTAAGAGCATGTTCCAACACAGTGCCATTCAGCACACAGTTTCGGCTGGAGAGGTCGGAGACAGCGGCAAAGGCACCAACGACATCGGTGGCGGACCCAGTGGTTCCGGCGATCGTCGTCGTAGTGCTTGCCGCTTGCGGAACTCCAAGAATTCCTCTTTCATAGCCCGAACTCGCGCTTCGACGTCGTCACGCGACGGTCGCGCCCGCGGCCTCTCCGGTGTCGAAGGCGTGGGTGTGCGCGTCGCGCGATCGAACTCGTAGTGGACGTCCACGGAACCGGCGTCCGCCGCCTCGCCGGATCCGGGCCGGGGCGGCGGCGGCGGCGGCCGGTACGGCGGGGGCCGCCACTCCGCCAGGCTGCCCGTGCGGCTGCTACGGTTGTGCTGCGATGACGACGCGTTCTTGCTGCCGAAGCCGCTCGACGAGCTGCGACTCTCCGGCGACGCCTCGTGCGGTGGCGGCTCCGAGATAGTACGCGGTCGAGTGTGTCGGAGCAGCGGCCGCGCTCTTGGCCGAGCTAGATTGCTCGACCGCGACATGGGGTCTATCCGCATCGCTCGCAGTCGAAACGGTGAAGGGGGGGTCGGGAACGATCCGTCCGCCGAGCTGGGGAAAGGCACAGAGCTGAGGTCCGACACGTGGAGCGGCGACCAGGGAGTCCACGCCGCCCACGGGGGCCACGGCGGCCACGGCGGCCAGTGCAGCGCCAGCGCCGGCGACGACGCCCGGAACAGCGGCGGCGCGGCGGACGGCCGCAGCGGCGCGCGCAGCCGCGGCAGGAAGCCGCCGTCGTCGGAGGAGGAGGGCGCGGGCGAGGGCGCGGCCGACGCCGGCGCCGAGGACGAGGAGGACGAGGGCGGTGCGGGGGGAGCGGCCGACACGCGCCCCACCGAGCCCCAGTATTGCGCCTCGCCGCCGCACCGCGACGCCGGCCACACCCAGTTCGCGGTGAATCGCAAGCACTGTACTATACTCGATATTCCGCGTTCTCTAAATCTGTCAACATATACAATAGTCTTTTCGCACTGAGGACAAAATGGAAGAACGTCTTAGACTCAGAGTTCGTTCTCTTTAGAAAGCTCAAAGTTTGATATTTAATATAATTGTCTCAACTTTTGATTGATTCTCTCGTGATGAAGACACGAATAACAAAAAAAAGGAAGGGTTCGAATCTGAAATTGGACTCAAAATATTCAAATCACCATGAGATATATCTGGGATTATAGTCGTAAATAAGAATAAAAATCAACATATATAGGTATTGTACAATTTTCCAACCAACCTGATTTCCTATTTAGCAGCAAGAACAGAAATGTATTCTTGTTATTTATTGCCATCATATTTTGAAATCTCAATATGTAATTTATTACTATACTGTACTCACTTCTTAAAAGGCACTTGAGTGCTGTCAGCGGCGCGGAGGTCTGTCAGTCGCGCGGCTACCATGTTGTATGCTGCAATCGAATAATTTCTAAATATTAACGCAGTGCAACCTGTACCTAGATTCGTCTTAAAGCGCGACCGTCACCCGCCACCACACACAACACACCACCACCTTAACTACACTCACCATATTGTCAGCTTGAAAGCTACTACACTCTGGAACGATATGCTCGTCTATTACCGTGGTTAGTTCTCTTGGATTTTTTAAAATTAATTAGTAAAACGTGTTCGTTTTTCTTTCAATTAAGAATTATATATAATGATTTTTTTTAACTGTTGATCTTTTAATTATTGTAGGTACATTCCAGAGAGTAATAGGCTAAGTTTATGATGAACAATGGCACAAATGATAGCAAAGGAAATAATTACAATTAAAATTTTATCTATAAAAGTTAGCTAGTAACAAGCTATATATTACGTTAAAAATACAACGCTCAAAATGTTATTACCACCCGACCGGAGCCGGGCTACTAGTCAACTATAAATTTACAGTCGTCGAGATAGAGATAGCATTGCTTAGCGATAAGACCACTTTTTATATCTATTAATGTGAATATACTATTTTAATATTTTTTGTTCTAAATTGAATCTGAATTGGTGCAATAAACAGTATAAAAAAATAAATAATTAGGTATAACCCTAGACTAGGGTTATCAACCATAAAACATTTAGCTTCTTATGAAGAACTCAAGTGTAGTGGCCAATTTCGTATATCATCAATCCTATAAAGATGTACTACTACAAAAAATCAAAACTCGTATGTGTGCAAGAATTCTTGTAATAATGGCATCCCTGTCCTAGGCCTATTTACCTATAAGTAAAGAAAAGAGAAAATAATTTCATGCAAAAGCTAAACACAAACATGGTAGATGTAAATGATTTTTTGTTAATAAAATATTTTGTCAAAAATATGTTGAAATGAGCATCGTCACCGACAATATGGTAAGTGACTCGTTACTGCCTTGTATCTTTTGAACTTGGTAAAACAGTAATTTACTTTGTGTTTTCGCGTCTCTTATGTGATGCTTATATACATTCAATGGTGTTTATCAATAGATTAAATGTTAATAAAAATCGATAAAATTTAGGTTAATAAGTTATATTAAAGGTCTTCGACCACCCCATATGTGCAGGTATCTATATATGCATGAATGTACAAATACTAATGTAGTTAACATTAGTTAACTTTAGCTCTCTAAATAAGAATACTGAGCAATAATTTTTATTTATAAATACTTAAGTATATTCCACCTGAGTACCGCCGTAGGATGAAGCTAGTGATAAGCTATTGATAAACACCATTCTTGAAATTGTATAAACAACCATAAGCGAGCCCCGGGAGCGGGCGACGGTCACCTCTCCCGCATCGAGCTCACCTTTCTCCTGCTTGCGACGTTTTCGCTTATTGCATATCTTGACAGCACACACAGATAGTATGATAGCGACAATGAAGAACAGTATGCCGCCGACCACGCCAGCCGTGATCGCTTTATGCTTTACCCTCGCCGGCACCGGGAATTTCACCTCATCGGAACTCTCGTAGCTGCTTGCAGAGTTGGCCAACACGCGGAAATAATAGGTTCGGCCGCCCACCAAATTCTTGACTGTAATTATAATATAATAATAATAATACAATTCACACATCGCCATCTATCCCCAAGATAAGCAAAGCTCTGCTTCATGGGTACTGGACTACTGATATAAATATTTAGATATATATTTTTGTAAATACTGTAATACAGGTAAACAAAGATCAAATACTTGGATGGATAAAAATTGTGTGTTTACACAATTGTTATCCATCCAAATATTCCATCACTAAATTGTGTCACAAAAATGTCAGGTTCTTGACACCGTTACCCGGCCTTGTCTTTTACAATTTAACAATAGTAAACCGAGTGTTTTAAATCTTATGCTTATACGATGCTTATAGATGAAGTTGGAAATATTTTTAAGTTTTTCGTTACGTAGTTTAAAAATGCATCGTTATATAATTTAAAACCCCTTGTTACACAATGCCACATTATATCGATCTCTGTCTCCCCGTCAATATGTGACGTAATCTATGTGCTGGGTACACATAGATTATAAGTAAATGACAGAAATAATTGATATATACAATATTTGTACACATAGAGAGAGAGACAGTATACTATATTTGTATACATTGTAAATAAATTGTTTTTACATATATATATATTACAAGAATGGGAACGAGCTGATGGCCCATGTGATGGTAAGAGACAACCGTCGCCTATATACATGATGATGCACTATGGATATCACTCCAATATGTGACCACCGTGATTGCCATTGCCATTGAGGAACATGTCATGCCTCCATATACTGTAATTTCTCTGCACAATATCATCCTTCAACACAGCATATAAAGTAAGCTGATTGGCGATTAAAACAGAGGTACCCAAGGAAACAACTTTTACAAAGTTAAATACTTTGTAAAAAACTTTGTAACCTTTACCTGGGTTGTATGTTACAGGTAATGAGTTCTAGAGAAATGTATGTCAAATATACCAAGGTAACTGGTTTCTTCCGGACGGATTTGTCCTCTGTTAAGGGTCTTCCATTGCGCGTCGGTGCGGTATTTGATCGTGTAGTACTGTACAAGGTGTGCTCGTTCTAGAGGCGCTTGCCATGTTATTAGAAACCCATTATGCACCTCTGTCACGGTTAAATTGCGCGGCGGACCAGACTTTGGACCTAAAAAATTCATATTAATCACTCGCATTACAATCATAGCACCTGCAGATTACATCAACTACTAAAAGCAACACGAATTAATTCTTTGAATTTTTATTTCTAAAACAATATCAAAATTCTCATTAATCTTTTTATACGGGAAATTAATATTTCACCAGATAATTATAATATAAATATGGATAACGTAATAATAATGCGAAACAAAAATACTAAGCATTTCTTACAAAATAAGGGATAAATTGTAGAGAAAGAAAGAAGGTAGAAAACATGCAAACAATAATGATTATGAGCATAAGAGTTACACATGTGGCGTTAGTAAGCGAGTGTAATTATTATATATAATAGAGAATGTGCAATGTGAGTTTATACCAGAACCTTCGGGTGGATTTGGAAATATCTTATCGTCGACTGGGCCCGCCAGGGTGGGCGGTACTTTCGGCTTCGCGCCTACATCTACAAAAGGCAATGTTATGTTAACACTGAAAATCTTCAGCATTGATTAAAACATTTTCCTCCTGCTTTTAAGAATAATAATATATATAACAACTCTAATAATATCTCAGACATTGCACTTATTTATAGATTTTGAAAGTGGATACCGACATCTACCTACATATATAGACGAAAAACTGTTACTGTGAATAAGTTACTTGGTTAATTTTCTATAAAGTTTTCAAGTTGTTAGCTCTCTTTTTTCATATTGCCATAGACCTGCACTTTACAATAGTAATGACCAATAAACTTTAAATTAATACATAAAATATTGTTCACAATCATTGAATCTGTAAACTATATAATATTATGGATTTGACATTAGACAATATTACACCAACACTTCAATAGAGTAAATACTTATATTTATGAAGAAAATACCGTTATTCACACAGTATTAGTGAACATATTAACTGACCGTCACCGAGGCATACAACTACTCCCGTGTACATTTAAAAATATACCTACCTAATGTTCTTATTGTGATAGCCTTGCTCATCATTCCTTCACCTATTGTGTTTTTGCTGTTCACTTGAAATTCGTACGTAGTACCCGGTTGAAGGCGATTTATTGTTACCTAGGAACAATTTATAACATAGTGATTTCAATTATTAATACTATTTGGCATCTGTAAATTAATATAAATACAATATACTAATTTTATTACATTTCATAAAATATGTTTATTGTAAATTTACAATAATTACTTACATATAAAATAACACACTATATTTAAAAACAAATATTATATGTTATATTAATATAAATATTATCATGCTACACATATATAATTAATACAACAACACAACTTGCAGTTCGGAAAAAAGTCACTTGGATTAGGTAAAATGGAAGAAGTGTGGCAAGCAATTAAACGACTTACATACAACTCTAAAACCAGGAGAAATACCGGATCACTGGTGGGGAGCGCCCTGAATCGCTTCCTAGATCGCTTCGTACGTAGCAAAATTGAGCTCGATTTTCTCCACCACAACTGGTCCAGTATTACCCTTAATAATACTATCTACTAGGGTTAAATAAAAGTAACTAACAGAAGTAGCACCAGAGGGCGTAACGGGTACTTTGGTCCACTCGGAGAAGCCAGCCTCCCTGTACCAGATTGTGTAGTCCTGCTTGTAGTCGGGCCCACCCGCGTAACCTGGCTGCCAGCGTAGCGTCACCTGGAATTCCGTCGCTGTTCCCGACACATTGTACGGCGCGTGGGGTTGCGTGCCTTCTATCACTAGTTGCGTATCCGCTACAATTGTAGCCACCTGTCAAATTCAAATCATCACAATAAGGAAATCAGATGAAACTACAGACGCAAATCTTTGTTAACAGTGTTCCGGTTGAAATATATTAATTGTTAATATGTAGAAAAGATATGATGATATAAGATGTAAAAATTACACGTTATGGGGGTTTGACAGTCTAGTGTGGAATCCGTAAAATAGCTTTTAAAGCGCAAATACCTACATAGTCGCGACATATCATGAACCTTTGAAGCTATATCTGTTGATCAGTCCATTTATTTTAGAAACAAATGATACTAAATTGTTTATTCTCACATTTTTACACTCTTAACTATCAACGAATTATTAATGATAATCTATGCGAAAATAAATTTTAAATTATTAAAAAAGTTAGAATAGAATAGAATAGAATAGAATAGAATAGAATAGACTATTATTGTCTATGTCTAGTGTCTCTAGTGTCTAGTCTCTCAAGTGGTCTCTGTAGACAGTCTCTGCCCACCTTTAAGAAATATTAATATGTATGTTGGATGTGTATATGATTATCATTGTGTGAATACCGTGCATGATTGATACTGAATAAATATTGTGATGTTTTAGTTTAGTATGGTGTTACCTCGTTGGAGGCGACACACTGGTAGATGCCAAAGTCCTGTCGGCGCAGCGTGTCGATGGTGATGTTGCCGGCGAGCGCGCGCACCCGACTCTTCTGCAGCGGCAGCCCGTCGCGCCGCCGCCACGTCACACTGGGCCGCTGCGTGCCCTCCGCCTCTTGAGCCTCACAATGCATCTCCACAGACTCACCCACCTTCATATACAAGTATGGATGTTTAAGGAAAAAAGAAAATTGTTTGTGTGTAAAAAAAATCGAAGATGTCCAGCACCTATCAATGGAACATGAGAGGGAACAATTTATTCAAACTTTTGGAATTAAAAAAAATTATGTAGGTATTATACAGAGCTTACTACATGCCCCTTCTTTTGAGATTGCGTTATTTTTGTGCGCTGATAATCTTGTTGATAAATAGATCCTTCTTAGTCAGTAATTGTTGAATTTTGGTTTAGTTTCTTTTTAGATTTTGTGATCCAAATTTGACTTTCCTTTTAATAGAGGAGGTAAAAAAATGGAAAAACAAACTTACCTTTCTTTGATACAGCGGTTCCGGTTCCACTGTAAAAACTGGAGGTTTGCGTACGAGTACCTCCATAGGTCCTGCATCAAAAAATATATGTTTATTTGTAGCTACATTCTAATAGTATCTAAATTTTGTTATTGACTAACATTTTTAAGTATTATTATTCTGGACAAAATATACTTGATATATGGCAACCACAATGAAGTAATGAACGGTAAAAACTTAGCAGAAGGGTGGGTATATAATTTTAACAACACATTTATTTTTCAAGAAGAACAAAGTAAAAAAAAATATTGAGCAGGATATATACTAATTGTAGAAAGGCTAATAAATACAAAGAAAAGTTTAAAGTTGCTAGCTAACAGTTTAAAAGAAATACGTACCTGACGATCCCTGTGTACCCTGAGCGTTGTATGGTGTACAGGTATACCGACCCTGATGGTTCTGATTGACTCGGGTGAACAGTAGAGAGCCATTATTCATAATAACTATATCTTTTGTTTGATAGGGTTCTAGCAGCCTTTTGTCCTTTGTCCACGTAACATACTGAAGAGGAGGGTTCGCTTTGATGTAACATTGCACCACGCCCGCCAGACGAAATGGTAAATATTGCACGGTGGGTGTGAACGTTACTTTTGCAGGATCTGTAGAAATAGTAAAAAGGTGTTTTCAAATTTATAGCAATGAAAATCAAATAAAAAATAATAATTACCACCTCTCCGTAAAGAAACAAGAAAAGCAACTATTTATAGTATTAATAGTTATTTAGTGTTATTTTTTTATAATCATATACATTTATAAGTATATATTATATATTTAACAAAAATTTTATATATTGTATATTAAATGTGTAGTAAAAGGGCGAACAAGATGTAAATTAAAATGTATAAGTTACGGCATGCAACGCCTTACTATGCTAAGTACTAAATATTTAGTATTTACCTAACAGGTAGTATTATGTAGTGATTACAGTAGTGAATCATTGCTATATTGAATTACAGTTTATCAAAATAAAAAGATCTACATTGAATTAGATTCTCACATTCGACATTTAAATACGCTGAAGCGCTCTGCGGGTCTCCGATGCCATTGGAGACTTCGCAGAGGTATTGTCCCGAGTCGTCAGCAGCGACCGGGTTGATGACCAGCGCGCCATCTCTTCGAATGGTTACCCTTGTCTCAAGCGCCGCCACCTCGGCTACGGGCGCCCCTTCACGGAACCACTTCACTGTCACGTTCCCAGGTAAGGCTTTGGCTTCACACGAGAACTGTACCTTTTCACCCTCTAACTTTGTTTGGTTCGTTGGAGGCATCTGAAATTGATAATTAATTTACTTTTTGGTTATCTTTCAACTTTATGCGGCGATGCGTAGCGCTCAAATCCGATTACACGTCAAAACCTTACAGCGGCAGATATTTCTCATGACTGAACAATCTATTACATTATGTTTAATTAAACAACTTTCAAGAAGCTTCCCGAGCTTTCGTTCAAGTTCAGTAATTTAAAAGTCCCTCGGCAATTTCCACCTACCAATTAGCAATAGGAACATATGTATAGCATAGAATTGATCAAGTAGCCAAAGTATAATGGAATTAATAATAAATGAATTTTATGGGTGAAGGAAACCAGTTTGTAAAATTATGTAAAATTGTTTCATTTAAGTGAAATACTAACAGTGATAACAGCACCGCCGGCAATGATAACGCGCGCCGTGTGCGACACTTGACCCTCCCCGTTGCGGGCTATGCACGTGTAGTCGCCAATGTCTTCGTGGCGGATATTGCTGATGCGGAGTTCCGTGCCGTCGTTGAAGATGCCCACTGTGCCGGATGGTTCCACCGGATTCGCGTCCTTATACCATAGGATTTCGGGTGTGGGCGTACCCTCCGCTTGACAGTTGAGTATGATAGCATCTCCTGGAAATCGATACTTATTATTGTTGTACTATTTTAGCTTATATGATATAAAATATCTTCATCGAACTATACTTTGTAAAAAGTTATCTGCATGGGTACATGTGTCTCACCTATTTCAGCCGTGAAGATGCTTACAGTGCTACTTTGCTGTGTGTGTGAGAATAAACGAAGTATGAGATAATGCAGTGAAAGTACAGGATATGGAGGCGTATCATCGTAGTTCTCCGGAATAGCTAGTTATGAGTGGTATCACGGAAACATATGATGACGTGATATCTGTGATGTGTGTTAAAGTATGATAAGAGATGGTAAGTACTCATCATGTGTGCCGTCAGCTTGTTTGGCATTCCAATTACATAAAAAAACATACAATAGACACATTCAATTCTACTGCAAATGCATAATTATTTTAATTCGTACCTAAATTAACGTATATAATGTCTTCCGGTGTGATGGAGAAGCGCGGTGGCGCGTGAACGTCCAGGTGGAACCAAGTGCCGTTCTTGTGTTGGTTCGGTGAACGATTGAGGAATACCACCTTACATTCGTACCAACCCTGTATAACAATGTAATTACTAAATAAACACCTAGTTAACGTGTTTAATAATCCAAGGTAAATTGGCTGTGAAACAAACCAGCTGGGAGTACCCGATCAAATATGAAAACTGTTATATATGCTACGATATAGTCCCTGATCAATAAATACCTAATACAATACCCAATACTACAATATATGTGTTCTTCAAACATATCTTTATAGAAGTTAAACGTGTGATCTAAATGGATTTTAATAAATATGATGTATACTATATATATATCTCTTTATATGTTCTATGTGATAATACAATTTCATTATGTAAGCGTTACATAATGAAATAATACTATATGTTAGGAACATGCTATATAATACTTTAAATTTAGGTGGGATGATATAGTGACCATGAGTGTATTATAGTGAAATGTGATTTTTGTTTTAACTTCTATCTTTGCACTGCAGTAAATTGACCGAAAGCGAAACTAAGCGTCCTGCTTTCCGCCAATTTACTAAGGATCATACTATTACTACGGATTTAATATTATACCAGATCGGTTATCTTTCTGAATGGTTGAATTACGTTCTTCTCCAATTCTCCATATGTATACAGTACTTCGTATTTGAGCGAAAAACTAACAGTTTTTCAAGTACGTATAACATCTACAAAATTACATAACCAAGAAAGAGGAAAAGAAATTGAAATTATATGAAATAATTATTTCTAACCAATATCTCGGTACAGTATCAGATTTTGACTGAAACAAACTAAAATAATTTAGGGTTTTTGGCTGTGAAACCAAATTTTTATCCATAACTCGATATTGGCCGTAAACAAATAACATTTAAGTAAATGAACATTTGGGTTTTGAGCTTGTTATGTTCATTGTCCTACGTGAAATCATTATTTAAATTAATCTCACCTGATCGGATTCCCTAATATTGGTGAGATTGAGACTGGCAGCTCCATAAGGCGAGTCGGGCGCGACACGCGACACTCTGCCCTCGTACCCCTCCCCGCTGTGCGTTGGATAGCTCTCGTACCAGATGTAGATTGGGATGTCCTGTCCCTACACACATTAAAACACCATTTTTACGTCTGATCCTCCAACTGGTGCGTAACAGCTAGCACTTTATATTACCCAACTACGTTGAAACTTACGTCTTATACGTGGTTATAAGTTCCGACTATGAGTAGGCACTTTCGTCTTCTACTAAACACAACATAATGCATACAATGAGATCAAAACAATATTTATTTTATAACAGCATACTTTGAGTTTGTTCAGTTCTAGTATTGGTTTGAAGAGTATGGACAAATTTAAATATCACTAATAATGTAGGTGGGTACAAGTTGGAAATATAATTACATAGGTAAGTACTTAAAAAGTTTACGGAGGAAAACTATTTAATTAAACTCAATTTTGCTGCTACAAAATAACGAAATACTACAATACTGAAACATGCAAGGATTAAAATATGTAAATGACGCTTTTACTTAGAAGTTAAAATAATAAAAATTTGGTATGGAATTCGAATAATGATTTTTCATTACTGCCGGGTATTTGTAGTAGCTGATTATAAAACAACAGTTTTATTCTGAAACTAAGGTTGAAATGGTCTTGTAAATTTCAATGTTTAGGATAGATTGGAAATTTCTGTATCTACGTGCAAGCATGCAGATAGTGAAAACTTGTAAATGAAACAGAGCTACATGTATACATGCTGTAGAATTAATGAAATGTGCGATATATTTAATTAAGACGTCACAATATATTTTAGATCGTATATATAAAGTACAGGTACATGAATCTACGTTGGCAGATAGAGCGTGGGTGAAGCCCACAGCCACAGGAAGAGAGAAACAGACAGAACCGCCGCCAGTGCGCGAGGGGAGTGCGCGTGCCCCGTGTCAGCCGTGTAAGCAATTGTGCTCCCGATGCTATCTCCAAGTATAATATAGTGCACCCAATAAAGAAAAATAATTATAATATTGGAAAACAAAAGTCTTATTGTATTATGTAAAGTGGCAGTGTATGTGTATGTCGTTATCTAACGGGGGTCTGCTGCTCTCTCGGACTCGTTTTGAAGGCCTTTGTCACTGTGGTGTACGTCGACCGTCGGCGGGACGACGAGCGCGGTAGGTACACGAGGCAATACGCAGAAGAGGCAAGTACACAAAAGGCGTGCGTGGAGCGCGCGCGGGGCGAGGGCTCTGGGGCCAAGCCCCCGGCCCGCGGCGCCCGCACTTTACCACTAGCACGGGACAATAAGATGTGTCGTCGACACGGCACGTCAACATATACTTTACAGTCTGCGAGGCGCGTCGCGGGGACGAGCCTTCCTCTACTGAACAGAAACACACACACGGTAGATGAGCAGCGTTGTATTGTAAGAGTGGAGTGTGGACCGTCGTACCGTTTCGCCTACCTTCTTCTCCCACTGCAAGACGTACGGCACCGGGATGTCTTCAGGGAAGTCCACCTGACAGTTGAACACGACGCTCTCTCCGAGGATCGCTGTGATGTGCACAGCATCTTGGTGGTCTTGGTGGCAGGTCACTGTTTCCAATTCAACTTGCTTTAGTTTATTACATATTTAAATAGTACATATGGTCACATGTAGTGCAGCAAACAGATTATTTCACATTTGTTTTATGCCAATGGAATTACAAACAAAAAACTTAAGTTAGTTAATCAATTGTTTCAATTTCATTACATTCCAAGAGATAGAAGTCTACAATATATATAATTAAATAATGAAGTACAATATTTTTGTCGCGAATGTGTGGTACGTCGATATACCAAAATGGGTAAATCCTGGTATTTCGGCACGATGAGTTAACTAATCTGATTTAATTCTGTCCTCCTTCACTAGTGTCCTGGCACTACCGCTAGCGCAGGTTAGTGGTAAAATAGTACCTGGTAGATTGACTAGCAGCAGCAGAAGCAAGCCGGCGGCGATGTGCGGCGGTTGCACGGCGCGCCAGCCCATGCCTGCGCTCCCATGTCACGGCCGCGCGCGGCGACTCATCGTTGATGCATCACCTACGCAAAATCTTTTTTATATCACACGTTGTTTACAGATATTGAATGTGAAGTAGGTGCACTATACAAGGCCATGCTCCTTGTAAGGTCAATTCATAAAAACATAAATCACCAACATTATCACCATTCCATATACGCCCAAAACTGTTACAGCTCCAAAACAGTCATAATAAAGAAATAGTTCTGAATACAGATATAATGGAATAGACATTCAGGAATTCAGGTATTTTGATTTATAACGTCAGAGTTAGGACATCAGTGTTTGGACTCGATGTTGTAGGTTAGACTGAACATAAATCTAGTTGATGTCTAGTCCATGGTATATTAAAATCCATAATCATTGTGACTGGCCGTTTGTTAACCTTATCAAATTATAACTTTGTTGACCAAAGTTAGTACACGTTTATAGCTCAAATATTTACAATGACTATTTTAACTGTAGGATGATTGAACATAAAGTAGAAATTGTTTTATATGTATAAAAAATAATAGATATGGGCAGTGAGTTATGATAATGAAATCGTATATATTAGGGTACAGATTACGTATCGTCGAATGGTACGGAATAAGCGAGATCTTTGTGCTACAATGGCAGTATTGTAAATCTAAATAATTTTACATATTAGTAATGCTATAATATTATAAAGAGTTAGTAAAGTCTTTATATTATTCCCGTTTACATCAACAATATGTTATGTCTATTATGAGAATTAAGAATATAAGAAAACAAGTGATATCATGGGAGTCACATGATGTGAATGTGATGTCTTTAGTGCTTTTCGTGTCTATAGGCGGCAGTTATCATATATCAGCAGGTGTGCCGTTAGATTGTTTAACATTACAATAACATAAAAAGTATAAGAATTGGAATCACAAATACGTATATTTATAATTCTGCCACTATTATCCACTGTAGCAATTTCATGATAGAATTTATGTATCAAGGGTAAGTAAGGTAATGTTGTTTTATACAGATATACAATACGTTCGAAGGGGTGGGTGGCCTTTTAGGCGAGCTACGTCCTTGGGCTATTTCCACCTACCGAGTAATTGCACTGCATCACGATATACAAATGACCTTCTGCCCCCACAAACCGACACAAACTCTTACCTTTTCAGCAGACTTATTAAAGTAAGTGTGCGGTATGAAGTTAAGTGTCTGGTTATCGATTTATGTGCTTAATTTACAATATAACCTGAGAAGTATGTTTTAGCATTAACAGAGCATCCCTAAGCATATATAATATTTATATTGTTTATGTATATAGCCGATGGTTGTCATTTGTGTGCTAACAGCACACCAATACCAACCACCGGCTATATGAACAGCACCACGAAAAATCGGTTTTTGGGCATTTTGAGTCCTAATGTTTTGCTATTCCGAAGGATTAAAATGTCATGGCTGTATGCCGTGTAATTTCACTGCCACATGCCACGCTTCAATCGAAACATACTTTAGAACGCTAGCTGCTTGGCGGCAGAAATAGATGAGCCAGATGACTTTGTACAAAATCTACTTACCTAAAACCTCAAGTTTTTTTTTTTATTAATAATGGGATTGCGCTTGGCCTTACCTTATCTGATGGTAAATGATGGCAAGATGATTTTTAGGATATTGTAAAAACCGCTTATATTGGAGTACATTACGCCATTAGAAGTTAATTCTTCAACAAAAAGTAGTAGTATTTGGACTAAAATCTTGTAAGCGGTGTAGCTGGCATGGTAAATATTAGGCCAAACATGTTACTGTAATGGAGAAAGATCCGTGACCTGCAGCGGTAATGGGTTGTTAGGGATTGGCTTAATTTTTTGGATTAATATAACAGTAGTACGCGTTAGTACCTATGTAGTTTATTTTAAATGAATGATTATAGAATGGTGCACCCGCCAGCGCTAACAGTTTGGTGGAATATAAACTAATAATAAACCGTAGAATTAACCAGTTAAACCAGTGGAATGGAGGATGAAAGGATGAGCATAAGGTCAGGTCAGGCAGTGGGACCGCGAAGATTAACCTGATATTTGTCATTGTTCGCAGTGGGGTCGTTAGTCCATATTACTGACAATTTCCTTCCCCCAGTACCTAGTATTATGTAATTAATAAGTATGTATTTAATGCCATTCCTAAAGACTATTGGGTATTTTGACTACCCCATCTTATCCTTTAACTTCAATAGTAAGCGGCTTGCAAAAACAACTGCTTTGCCTTAGAAATGGATGAGATAGAGCCTTCTTATGGGGTGAGCTGAGATAATCAGTGTCACTGACTTCATAATTCATATTATCCATGCTCGGGAGTCTTAACTCTTTATTTAGACAGTACTGTAACTACGTTATTATGATATATGCATTATCCCCTGGTAATTGCATACTTACATTTTAGCTTTATATATTTGTGTCATTTTATAAATAAATGTTAAGTATTTAAATTAACTGTATAAAAATAAACATACTGCTAAGAGAATAATAAATCTTGGGGAAACAAATGTAATATTTATAAACATACACGAACACAAGGACCGCATTGCCGACCTTAAAGCTATTCCCACGAGGAGCACGGAGGCAATCTTATTCACTTCATCCAACAAAAGTAACGTTACCATTTTAATTTAACCAACTTCAAAGGGGAAGAAGTTCTTAATCGGATCGTACTTTTGTGTGTGTGTGTGTGTGTGTGATATGCGATGTCTTCGTCGTAATTGAACCAATAGTATAATAGAGAATGTTGAGTATTTTGCCTTTTTAGTTCTACTCAAATGAAGTAAATAAAATTGGACGGGTAGAGATAAAAGGGACAGTGATAAAATATTTTGACGTATATATGTAAGTCAAATATGTTCTATATAAATATATGATTTTAAAATTGCAAAATCATTACTCTGCTATCACTTTTTTTTATAATTGAGGTAGGTGATGTTTTTTGTGAAGCAATAATAATGAAATATTTAGAAGTATTCCAGTTAGAAATACAAACACTATTATTTCTTAAACCGCAAACATTTAATAAGTCTATTTTACTTATTTCTGCTTGATCCATACTTTTCGAAGTATTTTCTTACACTAAAAGTAAAAGAAAGGTATTTTATATTTTGTAGTGGTATGATACGGCATCTGAGTTGTAAGGAATGGCAACGCATGAGTCTTGAGAGTCGGTTACTATTTTGTACAAGATGGAACCTGGTATCGGCTTATTTGCTATCCCAGCGACATCGAAAACGATATCCTGATTCTTTAATCCTCAGAATTAACATTAGATACACACGTTCCTTAAGACTATCACAGTAACGATATTATAATTAAATAAAGTAAATTTAAATAAATTCATTTAAAAAGTTTAAAAATTCATAAAAATTTTCTGATTACTTTTAAGAAAATTACATAACGCAATTATTATGAAACAGAAGATTAACAAACCATATTTGTAATGCTTTCTTTTAGTGCTGGTATCACTATATGCCTAAACATTAAATATATCATTACATCTATCTTGTTTTAATATAAATGGAAGACGCGTTATTCGAGGAATCACTCAATATTACAAGTTTAAATTAAAATTTGAAATAATTTTCCGAAGCAAAGAAGTACACTTCTTTTAAGTTTAAAACATAGAATTTAAGTATTACGCTTAGTTACTCATTACTTTAAACATTACTCGTACTAGAACCTAAAATGTTTATGATACCTGATATATCCTTGTATAATGGACAGTCAATTACTCCTTATTGACGTCGATTAATAATGTCGTAACCTTCATAAACAAGTATTGTCTACGTATAAATATGTAACAGGTGTTTACAGTTGATTCCACTTCAGTAATATAATTGTATTATATTTCGCAGAAATACGGTAAAGTGGATACAAGTAAGTAGATAGGTACTTAACTCAACATATACTCGTAATATGTTACAACGATCAAGTTCAATGTCATAATAATTTATCTATTGAAAGCTAGCAAAGTTATTTCAGTAAGTTAGTTAAAAGCATGTAATTGGAGTAAACAATTGTGAAAAGCTAACACTGCGGCGAATTCGGCTCCTTTAATAATTGACTAGTCAAACTTATTTGCATGTTTAATTGAACATCGAAGTGCGAGACATGTTAACTGAAAGGTTGACAAGGGTACGGTGTCAGTGGGGCGTGCGCGAGCACGATGCCCTGGCCATCGGTCAGGCACGGATGCTGCGGTTCTTGGAAATATCGATTTTCATACCTTCTCGCCGCGCGGTATGAATGCGTTGGGTGTCGCGCGGTGATTTTGGGCGTCTTGGATGCGGGGCTGTTGCGGCGTTGTCGTTGGGTGCGGCTGGGTTTCGTCATCTGTGGTGGGCGAGGGCGGTCATGGGCTCGCGGCGGCTCGGTGAGGGCGGCGCGGCAGGGCACGTGCGAGTCGTCGCGCGGCGGGCCGGCCACTGCCCGCCGCGGCCCTATCGATCGGTGCGCGCGCCGCCGCCGCCCTGCCACATCAACGGTCCCCGGTGCCGTGCCGAGCTCACGTGCTCGCCTGCTCGCCCCTGCTTGTCCCTGCTCGATGTGACCTCCTCTCTTCGCTCACTATGATCCATTCTATACAGACGTCGATATTCCCGTCAAGCGATAATACAGGCGTTTCGTCTGGACGTCTATTTTTATATTCGCCATGTTCTACTTATAACGCAGTGGAAAATTACGTTTCATTATACTACTCATTTATTTATAGGACACTATTTGTGTATTGGCAATAACCTTGATTTCCGTTTATTAAACTCATGAACTTTATATAAATACACCGTTATGTGATGTGTATCATTAAGTTGTTCAACTTTTATTAACGACATGTTTAGAGCAATGAAAACATTCTGTAAGTAGTTTTTAATAAACAACCGGCTACGATAGCAGTTGTAGCCATATTTTGGTGCGCCGCCCGCCCGCCCGTTCGGTAGAGACGGTCCGTTGTCCGAGTACGTAGGTTCGTAGCCTCGTAGCACTCGTATTCGCCTACTTCTCCGTAGTTGCGTAGCATT